CCTTCCTTTGAGTCTGCTGCTGCGTCTGCCTTAGTCGCTGAGCTTGTTGACTTTGCTGCCACGTGTCGTCTAGACTACGCCGCTAGCCTAGTTGCTGAGTCTGAGTCTGTCTGTCCTCCGTCCGTCGGGGGTGAGTGTGCTCTTGGCACGGACGTCCTTGAGGACAGGCAGGAGGAGTTTCAGTGCTTTGCTGCTGCTTTGCCCCATCTCGTGTCCATGCTTGTTGCCCCTGAGGGAGACCCGGATGCACCAGACATCCCGACCCCACGCTCTTACGCAGAGGCGATGGCCGGTCCCTACTCCTCTCAGTGGCAGACAGCCATGGACGCAGAGATGGCTTCCTGGAAGTCCACAGGCACCTACGTCGACGAGGTTCCCCCGCCTGGGGCGAACATCGTCAGTGGCATGTGGATTTTTAGGGTGAAGCGGCCGCCGGGTTCTCCGCCTGTCTTCAAGGCGCGTTACGTTGCACGAGGCTTCAGTCAGCGAGAGGGAGTTGACTTCTTCCAGACCTTCTCCCCGACCCCGAAGATGACCACTCTTCGGGTTCTGCTGCACGTCGCCGCTCAGCGTGACTACGAGCTCCACTCTCTTGACTTCAGCACTGCTTTCCTACTGGGCAGCCTGCACGAGGAGATCTGGCTGCGCCGCCCACCTGGCTTCACTGGGTCGTTCCCTCCTGGTACCCAGTGGAGCCTCCGGCGGCCAGTCTACGGTCTCCGCCAGGCGCCGCGTGAGTGGCACGACACACTGAGGACTACACTTGCGGCTCTTGGGTTCGCACCTTCTACTGCTGACCCGTCGCTGTTTCTACGCACCGACACCTCGCTGCCGCCGTTCTACGTCCTCGTGTACGTCGACGACCTGGTCTTTGCCACTGCTGACACTGCGGCACTCGCCCACGTGAAGTCGGAGCTGCAGAAGAGACACACGTGCACAGACCTAGGTGAACTGACAAGCTATCTTGGCTTGCGGATCACCCGGGACAGAGCACGGCGCACCATCACCTTGACTCAGTCACACATGGTGCAGCAGGTCCTTCAGCGCTTCCGCTTCACGTACTCCTCGCCTCAGCCCACTCCTCTGCCTACCGGTCACTCGCTCTCAGCTCTGCCTTCGGATGAGTCCGTAGAGCCGAGTGGCCCGTATCCAGAGCTTGTGGGCTGCCTCATGTACCTGATGACCTGCACTCGACCTGACCTTGCATACCCTCTTAGCATCCTTGCACGCTATGTCGCTCCCGGCCGTCACCGGAAGGAGCACATGGATGCCGCTAAAAGGGTGTTGCGCTACTTGTGCAGTACGTCGGGCATGGGGCTAGTGCTTGGAGGGCGAGACCGAGTTGTTCTCACTGGGCACTCAGACGCTTCTTGGGCAGACGACCAGGCTACTCAGCGGTCGTCTCAGGGTTACACCTTCAGCCTTGGCTCTGGTTCAGTTTCTTGGCGTTCTACACGCTCTTCTTCTGTTCTCAGCTCCAGTTGTGAGGCTGAGATCTACGCCACAGCCATGGCGGCCCAGGAGCTACGCTGGCTCACCTACTTGCTGACCGACCTTGGAGAGCGGCCTCGTTCTCCTCCAGTGCTGTACGTCGACAACAAGGCAGCCATTGCCTTGTGTGAGGAGCACAGACTGGAGCACAGAACGAAGCACATTGCTCTGCGCTACTTCCTTGCTCGAGAGCTGCAGCAGCGTGGTCAGCTTCGTCTGCGTTACGTGGCCACTGAGGCCAACACTGCTGATGTGTTCACCAAGGCGCTTCAGCCTTGTGACCATCAGCGCTTTTGTACTCTTCTAGGCCTTGTGCCTGCTGGACCTCACTTGCTTACTTCTTGACTCTGTTTGTACTGTGATCTATATATATATACCTGCATGTTTACTCTTGCTAGGTTGTGATCACTGTACCTCTTGTTATATTATGAAACTGCATGTGAACTGGTCTTGTGACCACTTGCTTGTGCTCAGAATTTGTGTGGTATCCTTGAGATCCACCCTGAGCTTGTTTTGCCTTGCTTTGCTTTGACTGGTCTTGTGACCCTCTGGTTGTCTCCCACTTCGCCTATGGGGGTGTGTCAAACATTGTATGTTTATATTGTGTAGGCTATAGTGGGTTTAGCCTTAGAGGGTACACAAACTTAGGGTTTCCTACTTGTACCCAACTTCCTGCTAGTTCATTCATTCTCGTTCTATTCTAAGATTCTAACACACTGCCCTGCGTCGCGCCGCCCGCGCGCGCCCTGCCCTGTCTGCGCGCCGCCCTACTGGCCGCGCGCTGCCCATTTCTTGCCCCCGCGCTGCCCTACCAGCCGCGCGCCGCCCCTGCCTGCCCGCGCGCTGCCCTACCAGCCGCGCGCCGCCTCGCTTGCCGCGCGGCGGCCTTTTGCAGCCCACGCACCGCCCTTGCCTGCCCGCGTGCCGCCCTTTGCAGCCCACGCGCTACCATTTCTGCCCGTGCGCCGCTCTGCCCTGCCTGCGCACTGCCCTGCACTGCCCTACGCGCCACTCTGCTATGCTAGCTATGGCTACTCTCAGTGTTTTCGAGTCCGATCGTGAGGGCCGTCCCATCCAGTTCGATATGTGGCTCGATGACTTACAGCTGTTCTTACTGAGCGATTCTAGAGACATCGTTTCGTTGTTTGACCACACATTTGGAGCCTCTCTCGCCCCTCCCGACACAGCTGACAGTGCGACTCGCTCAAAGTGGTTTACCTGTGATGCTGCCGCTCGCCTAGCCGTTCGCAACCACCTGCCGTTAGCCGAACGCGCTCACTTTGGCCAGCACAAGACTGCTAAAGCCCTGTACGACGCTGTAGTCGCTCGTTACTCCTCCCCTGCCACTGCTGCTCTCGGCCGCCTTATACTGCCCTACCTGTTTCCCGAGCTGTCCTCCTTTGCCACAGCTGCGGACCTCATCACCCACCTTCGCGCTAGCGACACTCACTACCGCATAGCGCTTAAAGCCGAGTTCCTAGACAAGAACCCGCCCCGATGTACAGCACTCTCTACATCATCGTCACACCCCTCCCTGACTCTCTTCGCGCAATCAGGACCACTTTCTCGCCCTTGACCCCACAGACCTCACTGTCGACCTGCTCCGAGAGTGCCTCCTTGCAGCTGAGACTAGCATAGTCGCTGTAGGTGCTGCTCGTGGCACTCCTCGCACGCCCTTCTTTGAGGGGTGCTCCCCCTCCCCCCTTGCCCCCTCTGTTGCTTCTGCTACTGCTGTTGACTTCCTTGGTGCTGAGGAGGTCGGCGCTACCTCTGCTCCTAGTGGGAAGCGCCGCAGCGGCAAGGGCAAGGGAGGCAAGAGTGGTGGAGGTGGCAGCGGGGGAGGTGGTGGTGGAGGCGGTGGAGGCGGTGGAGGTGGCGGAGGTGGCGGTGGGAGTGGTGGCGGGAGTGGGGGAGTGGGTGGCGGCGGTGGCGGCAGCGGTGGGAGTGGTGGTTGTGGTCGTGGCAGCAGTGGGAGTGGTGGCGGCGGTGGTGGCAGCAGTGGGAGTGGTGGCGGCGGCAGTGGTGGTGGTCGGACTGGAGCCGTTCAGAGGCAGCAGCAGCAGCGTCCGCGTGAGACCCCTTCGCCCCAGCAGCTTCGTGAGTGGTTTGCTCACTGTGGGGCGTCTGGGGGTAGTGCTCGCTGCCCATACATCATTCGCACAGGTGACCGTGCTAGTCAGACATGCGGGAAGTTTCACACCCAGCACCGCTGCTTCTCCCGCCTAGACGACGCTTGGCGCGCAGAGTTTGGCGACAAGGCAGAGCTTCCCCGCTGGGCGGAGCTGCTTCAGTCTGGTGTTGATATCTTTGCTCTTGACAATGACGCTATCCTTGGTGCCATGTATGCTTTGACTGTTAGTGCTGAGGGTGACTGTTACCTGTGTGTGCCGCCTGACCCAGGTATAGAGGCTGCTGCTCTAGGTGCTAGTGAGTCTGCTCTCTCTGGTACTGCGCCTGCTGAGGCCTTGCCCACCTTCACGCTTGACTCAGGTGCTTCCCGCTGTTTCTTTCATTACAGTACCACAGTCACACCACTCCCTGCACCCGTTGCAGTCTCACTGGCTGACCCCTCTTGGAGCCCGGTTCTTGCACGTTCCTCCACTGTTCTCCCGTGTCCGGCGGTTCCGTCCGGCTCACTGTCAGGTCTCCACCTCCCCTCGTTTTTGACTAACTTGGTGAGTAACGCTGTCGTTCAGGATGCATGGGTTGATACCTTTACCCCTGGAGGCCAGCGTGTGGCGATCTGCACGTGCTCCCGGACTGGCCGTCACCTGGCCACGTTTACCCGTCGGCCTGGGTCGAGTCTGTACACACTGACAACTGCGCCTCCTCAGGTAGCTGCGTCTGGTCAGGTGTCCGCGTCAGGTCTGGTAGCAGCCTCCTCCTTGTGTCGCCTCCTGTCGCACCAGACTCTCCTTTGGCACCACCGCCTTGGTCAACCCTCCCTGCCACGCCTCTGTGGCATGCACTCCCGCCTCCTTGTATATCTGGTCTTCTCACGTCTCTGCCCCACCCTCGCCACCCCCGCCCACCCCCACCCACCCTCGTCTCTGGTCTCTGGTCTCTGTGGCATCCCCTCCCACCCTCGCCTGCCCCGCCCTGCATTCCTTGCGTCGAGGGGCGGCAGCGCGCCGCTCCTCACTCCTCCTCGTTTCCCCCGACGACTGCTCCCCTGCAGACTCTCCACATGGACGTGTGGGGCCTAGCTTGCGTCAGAGGATAGGGCCGCGAGCGATACTTTCTGCTGGTTGTTGACGACTACTCGCTTATACCACGGTCTTCCCCTTGCACAGCAAGGGGGAGGTCCTTGGATCCGCGCTGTCCGTCTCCAGCTCCGCGAGCGGTTCCGCACGGACTTTCCTGTCCTGCGTCTGCACTCTGACAGAGATGGTGAGTTCTCCTTCGACCTCTTGCAGGACTTTTGTCGTGGGGAGGGCATCCTCCAGTCGTTCACGCTTCCGGCCTCCCCGCAGCAGAATGGGGTTGCTAAGCGCCGCATTGGCTTAGTCATGGAGGTGGCTCGTACCTCCATGATCCATGCGGCTGCTCCCCATTTTCTGTGGCCGTTTGCGGTCCGGTACGCTGCGCATCAGCTCAACCTCTGGCCCCGTGTCTCCTTGCCGGAGACCTCGCCTACACTGCGTTGGACGGGGGAGGTTGGCGATGCGTCGGTGTTCCGGGTCTGGGGCTCTCGTGCCTTTGTCCGCGATACCTCCGCGGACAAGCTCTCCTCCCGCACCATTCCCTGTGTCTTCCTTGGCTTCCCGTCTGACGCGCCTGGCTGGCAGTTTTACCACCCCACCTCGCGCCGTGTTCTGCCCTCTCAGGACGTCACGTTTGACGAGTCGGTTCCCTTCTACCGTCTCTTCCCCTACCGCACTGCCCCTCTCCCCCCCCCCCCGCCGCTCTTCCTCGCTCCAGGTCCCCCTCCGGTAGACCCCCTCCCCCCTCAGGGTCCTGCTCCTTCAGGTGCATCTCTGATAGACCCACTTCCCTTGGCTGAGCCTGTCGAGGTCACTGGTGACTCTGGTGCTGCTGGGGGTGGTGCTGCTCGGGGTGCTGCGTCTGGGGGTGCTGAGCCTGAGCGTGCGGAGCCTGGGGGTGCTGAGCCTGAGCGTGCGGAGCCTAGGGGTGCTGAGCCTGGGGGTGCGGAGCCTAGGGGTGCTGAGCCTGAGGGTGCTGAGCCTGGGGGTGCTGAGCCTAGGGGTGCTGCGTCTGCTGGAGGTCCTACGGGTGCCTCGCCGCAGCGGTCTAGCCAGCGAGAGCCTCTCTCACCACAGCAGCTGCGCGAGTGGTTTGCTCGGCGCACCCGCCTTCGGAGTCGCGCTGCTGGGGCTTGGGGCACCAAAGCTGGAGGCACTGGAGCTGGAGGCGCTGGAGCTTGAGGCACCGGAGCTGGAGCCGATGGAGCTGGAGGCACTGGAGCTGGAGGCACTGGAGCTGGAGGCGCTGGAGCCGGAGGCACTAGATCTGGAGCCGCTGGAGCTGGAGGCACTGGAGCTGGAGGCGCTGGAGCAGAAGGCGCTGGAGCTGGAGGTGCTGGAGCTGGAGGTGCTGGAGCTGCAGGTGCTAGAGCTGGAGGCGCTGGAGCTGGAGGTGCTGGAGCTGGAGGCGCTGGAGCTAGAGGCACTGGAGCTGGAGGCACTAGAGCTGGAGGCGCTGGAGCTGGAGGCACTCGAGCTGGAGGTGCTGGAGCTGGTGGGCGTGTGCAGCAGCGACCATTTTACTTGCCGCAGCTGCTGCTGTCCTCGCTACCGCCCGAGTCGGTGCTTCATCAGGTTCTTAGTCTTCCTTCGTCCACTGCCCTTCCTCCAGACTCACCGCTGCCTGCCCCCCCTCGTTACACTGAGCAGCCAGCCTCCCTTACAGAGCGTCGTGAGCCTGCGTATTGTCCTGCCTCCCTTGTTCGCACTGTTCACCGTGCTTGTCGTGTCCCGTGTCTGCGTCCTCCTCCTGTGCCAGGTACTCACGCTATGGCACTTCGTCCTTCCTCTGTTCCGCAGCGTGTCCCCCTGCCGTCTCCTCCTGCGTCCTCTCTTCCTGACGTTCCGGACCCCGGGTCTGACTTGGTTCGTGCTGCCAGCCCCACTGTCACGCGTCTCCTGGCCACAGTCATCTCTGACCCGTCGTTGACGTCTGCCTTAGTTGCTGAGCTTGTGGACTTTGCTGCTGCGTGTCGTCTAGACTACGCCGCCAGTCTTGTTGCTGAGTCTGAGTCTGTCTGTCCTCCGTCCGTCGGAGGTGAGTGTGCTCTTGGCACGGACGTCCTTGAGGACAAGCAGGAGGACTTTGAGTGTCTTGCGGCTGCTGTACCTCATCTCGTGGCCTGGCTGCTTGCGCCTGAGGGAGACCCGGATGCACTGGACATCCCGACCCCGCGCTCTTACGTAGAGGCGATTTCGGGTCCCTACTCCTCTCAGTGGCAGACAGCCATGGACGCAGAGATGGCATCCTGGAAGTCCACAGGCACCTACGTCGACGAGGTTCCCCCACCTGGGGCGAACATAGTCGATGGCATGTGGATTTTCAGGGTGAAGCGGCCGCTAAGTTCTGGGTGAGTTGCGCAGCTATCTTGGCTTGCAAATCACCCGGGACAGAGCACGGCGCACCATCACCCTGACTAAGTCACACATGGTGCAGCTGCTCCTTCAGCGCTTCCGCTTCTAGTTCTCCTCGCCACAGTCCACTCCTCTGCCTACCGGTCACTCGCTCTCAGCTCCACCTTCAGACGAGTCCGTAGAGCCGAGGGGCCCATATCCAGAGCTTGTGGGTTGCCTCATGTACCTGATGACCTGCACTCGACCTAACCTTGCGTACCCTCTTAGCATCCTGGCTCGCTACGTTGCGCCCGGGAGACACCGGCGAGAGCACTAGGAGGCTGCTAAGAGGGTGTTGCGCTACTTGTGCAGTACATCAGGCATGGGGCTTGTGCTTGGAGGACAGGGTCGAGTTGTCCTCACTGGACACTCAGACGCCTCTTGGGTTGACGACCTGGCTACGCAGCGGTCGTCACAGGGTTACACCTTCAGCCTTGGTTCCGGCTCTGTTTCTTGGCGGTCTACACGCTCGTCTTCTATTCTCAGCTCCAGTTGTGAGGCTGAGATCTACGCAGGAGCCATGGCTGCTCAGGAGTTACGCTGGCTCACCTACCTGCTGACCGACTTGGGAGAACGGCCTTGTTCTCCTCCAATTCTGTACGTAGACAACAAGGCCGCTATCGCCTTGTGTCAGGAGCACAGACTGGAGCACAGAACGAAGCACATCGCTCTGCATTACTTCCTTGCTCGAGAGTTGCAGCAGCGAGGTCAGCTTCGTCTTGCTTACGTGGCCACCCGGGCCAACACAGCTGATATATTCACCAAGGCACTTCCGCCTGGTGATCATCAGGGTCTCTGTACTGCTTTAGGCCTTGTGCCTACGTTTTCTCACTTGCTCACTGCGTGACCTTGCTTGTACTGTGATCTATATATATTCCTGCATGCTTACACTTGCTAGGTTGTGATCACTGCACTCTTTGCTTTGCTTTATATAACTCTGCATGTGAACTGGCCTTGTGGCCATTTATTTGTGCTCGGAGTGTGTGGTGACTTCGTGATCCACCCTGAGCTTGCTTTGCTTTGACTGGTCTTGTGACCACTGGTTCTCCCCCACTTTGCCTATGGGGGTGTGTTAAACTATTATGATGGTTGTTGTTTGTAGGCTGTAGTGGGGTAGCTTACATGGGGTACAACACATTCTGAGGTCTCTACTTGTATCCCAACTGCCTAGTTCAACTGCTCCTGCTAGATTCTGACACGTTGTTGTCAGTGTTGCTATTGCCACTGTTGCTGCTGCTGTTCCTTCCACTGCCATTGGAGCCGCATCAGCATGCCCACTCAATTCCAAATAGGATCTTCTCTCACTATACCATGCTTACTCCTTTCCCCATTTAACTTTTGCCGCGGCTGCTGTTCCTCAGCTATGGTGGAGTCACTGTCATTGGAGCCCCAACAACTGCCCTGTCTCATCCATATATCCCAAACCCTCACCATACCATGTTTGCGCATCTCCCCCATGTTGTTGCCGCTGCTGTGGTTCCCAACAGCTGTGGTGGAGTCTCTGTGGTTGGAACCCCAGCAGCTGGCGGCTCAGCAGCAACAACAGCAGCAGCAGCAGGCACGAAGAGGCAGGGGGAGGCGGCAATGACCACATGCAGTGCCCTGGCCTGGCCCATACAATATAGGGTGCGCGCTGCAGGCATCACATAGAGCTCATCCCTGAATAGATTAACACTCCATCAGGGTTGAGATGCTGTGGAGGTGGCCCACGTACAGGCGGTTTCGCGAAAGCCAGAAAGTAGATGGCACTTCTAAGGGCACATTCGGGACGTGACATGTCCCAAATGTACGCATCACAAACGATTGTGACGCGTAAATCCTGCATAGGTTGCCAGTCGTCTGAAACGCGGACTGGGATTGTGCGACAAATTTTAAAATTTATCATTGGCTGCTGTGAGTTCCGCCAAATTCGTTGACTAATTATTTTCGCGCAATTTTCGGGAGCGGCTCGGAATGTCGCGACGCGCGAAGCGAAATGTTCAATCTGCAGCATACACTTGGTTGTTTAAATCATCCGATGCCTATAACGCGCTGTTGACAAAACGAAACATTATTTGTTACTAATTGTGATGAAGAAATACCATAAACAGTGACGCTTGAGCCACTATGTGTAAGGCATGTAAGATCTACGCAGGAGCCATGGCTGCATAGGAGCTACGCTGGCTCACCTACCTGCTGACCAACTTGGGAGAGCGGCCTAGTTCTCCTCCATTTCTGTACGTAGACAAAAAGGTCGCTATCGTCTTGTGTTTGGAGCATAGACTGGAGCACAGAATGAAGCACATCGCTCTGCGTTACTTCCTTGCTCGAGAGTTGCAGCAGCGTGGTCAGCTTCATCTTGCTTACGTGGCCACCCGGGCCAACACAACTGATATATTCACCAAGGCACTTCCGCTTGGTGATCATCAGCGTTTCTGTACTGCTTTAGGCCTTGTGCCTACGTTTTCTCACTTGCTCACTGCGTGACTTTGCTTGTACTGTGATCTATATATATTCCTGCATGCTTACACTTGCTAGGTTGTGATCACTGTACTGTTTGCTCTGTTTTATATAACTCTGCATGTGAACTGGCCTTGTGGCCATTTGCTTGTGCTCGGACTGTGTGGTGACTTCGTGATCCACCCTGAGCTTTCTTTGCTTTTCTGTGACTGCTTGTACTCCCCCACTTTGCCTATGGGGGTGTGTCAGAATATTGTGTTGTGTAGGCTGTAGTGGGGTAGCCTGTATGGGGTACAACCCAATTAGGGTTAGTACTTGTACCAACTTTCTGTTCAATGCAACCATTCCTCCTACTAGATTCTGACAACCAGATGCAGTCAAACTGTCAGCGTCGCTTCAAGTCATTTCTGACTCTTCGCATTCAGCCTCGATATTGTGTGCTTCACTTGCTGCAGTTAGAAGTGTACAATGCCATTTCACTATTCGTAACCACCCCCTTCACTCCTGGCCGTAGCTCGACTTGACCTGTTTGACCACTCCGCTGAGTTCGGAGCAGTGGTGGTACTGCTGTCGTCGCAGTCGCTTCGTCAAAAAGTCTGCTGCCATGTCATCTGTCGGGCAGTAGGTGAAGTCCACTTTCCCCTTGTCCGCTTCATCCTTGACGAAGAAGTATCGCGGCGCGATGTGTTTGGTGCGGTTGACGAATCCAGGCTTGTTCGCGATGCGGATCGCGCTCTGGTTGTCGCAGTGTAGGCGAAAGGTGGGCGAAGCTGGAATTTTCGCCTCTTGCAGGAGTTCCTGCAGATAGTTATCAGAATCCCAGTCACTAACCACTGGGATAAAGGGCTTGTTTGTGTAGCGGGTGAGTGCGCCCATAACCCCCCAGGCCAACGTGCCTGTAACCCTTCCCTAGGATCATCGGGGATCACCAGTGGACCTCTGACACCCCCCCGCACTGGGATGCCCGAGGTGCACACACCGGGATTCGAACCCGAGACCTTCGCTCTGGTACCATATCAGAATCCCAGCCACTAACCACTGGGATAAAAGGGCTTGTTTGTGTAGCGGGTGAGTGCGCCCATAACCCCCCAGGCCGACGTGCCTGTAACCCTTCCCTAGGATCATCGGGGATCCCCAGTGGACCTCTGACACCCCCCCGCACTGGGATGCCCGAAGTGCACACACCGGGAATCGAACCCGAGACCTTCGCTCTGATATCATGTCAGAATCCCAGCCACTAACCACTGGGATAAAAGGGCTTGTTTGTGTAGCGGGTGAGTGCGCCCATAACCCCCCAGGCCGACGTGCCTGTAACCCTTCCCTAGGATCATCGGGGATCCCCAGTGGACCTCTGACAATAGTGGCCTTCGCGAACTACTGCTGTCGCAGCGATGAACTCAGCTTCGGCCGATGACAGGGCAACCAGCTCCTGCTTCTGCGAGTTCGACGAGATTGGTCCTGTTGGCTCGAGGCGAAACAGGAAGCCAGTCCTGGACCGTCGATTGTCGGGGCATGCTGTGTGATCGGCGTCCACGTAGCCGATGAGATTGAATGATGGGGTTGGTACTGTTGAGTAGAAGAGCCCAATCGTGGGCGTGGAGACGAAGAACTGTAGGGCGCGCTGCAGATCCAGAAGGTTCTCAGCTTTTGACTTGCGAGAGTACTGAGCCAGTTGGCTCACGATGTAGGAAAGATCAGGCCTGCAGGTGACAGAGGCGAAGAGAAGGCATCCCAACTGCTGCTGGTAAGTCTGAATTCCAGCAGGGGATAGGGCTTTGTTGTCGGGTTTGTGGTTCGGTCCGGGAGTGCGGTAAGGGGTGGAGAGCGGTGCAGGCACAATGTTGAAGCATTTACTAAGCTCCTCTGCATACTTAGCCACTGAGAGGTGAATGGCTCTTGGCGCGTAGGAGACATTAAGTCCTAGAAACTGCTTCACGTCGTAGTTGCGGGTAATGTCGACGCGCCTGCCCCAGATTCCTCTCGAATTGCTCGAGCAGCTCGTTGCTTAATCCTGTGTAGAGCAAGTCGTCGACGTAGACCGTGGGTAGAATGTAATCCCCAAAGAAGTCGCGACGGTACATCCCGGGATCATGAGGCATCTGCTTGAAGCCTATTTCAAGCAGGATGTTGTGCAGGTACTGCTGCCAGAGCCTTGGCGCCTGTTTAATCCAGTAAAGGGCCTTTCGTAGCTGGCATACGCGCGAATCCCCTTCGCCGTATGTGTGCGGCTGCTCCACGTAGATTACTGCATCCACTAGTGCGTAAAGAAATGCATTCTTCACGTCGATTTGGCGCAGCGATAGGTGTCTTGCAGCAGCGATGGTGAGCAGAATTCTGACAGAGGTATGACGGCTGACCGACGCAAATGTCTGGTCGAAGCCAATGCCGTGCCTCTGATCATAGCCGCGCACGACCCAGCGCGCCTTAAATCGTTCGATCATGCCGTCCGCTGCGGTCTTCACGCGGAAGACCCATTTGCCGGAAAGGATCCTTCTCCCTTTGATTGCGGCGCGATCGACGAG